CGGGTCTCACATTGCTCCCCCGGCTCCACTAGTCACACTCATGACTCCTGCGTGACTGGTCACCTGTCAGTCGCTCCCCGCCTGGCTGGCCGAGCTCCCCAGGGAGAGGGGCAGGGCTAGAGGGAAGACTGGCAAACCCCGTCCGCTCCCATCCAGCCTGCTCTAGTGACTGACCACGGTGAGCAGAGCGTGATGGTTTCAGGGCCAGGGTGATCACAACTCACAGGCCTTGTGGAACTGCCTGGGCCCATCTGCGTCGACCTCGACCGGCCCTCCAGTCCCTGGCTGGCCGAGCTCCCCAGGGAGAGGGGCAGGGCTAGAGGGAAGACTGGCAAACCCCGTCCGCTCCCATCCAGCCTGCTCTAGTGACTGACCACGGTGAGCAGAGCGTGATGGTTTCAGGGCCAGGGTGATCACAACTCACAGGCCTTGTGGAACTGCCTGGGCCCATCTGCGTCGACCTCGACCGGCCCTCCAGTCCCTGCCACAGCACCAGTGCCTGCCCCCGAGGCAATATTCTCCCTCCTCGCTGTGACCCCCACGTGCCAGGTCCCCAGCCCCACCCCATCCCGCCCTGGCAGCTGTCAGGGCCCTGGCGCTCCCAGGCTCAAACCAGCGGCACAGAGACATGCGGCTCACCTCTCTCCCCGGTCACTCTTGCAAACAGAGCTTGGAGTCTGGCTTTGCACTCGGCAAAGTCCCCAGCCCGGACACTGGCTCCCGCCGCCGGGGGCTGCAGATTGCTGAGCTCCTCCAGTGAGCCCTTGATGAGGGGGTGCATGTCCATCACCTCCTGGTCCGACGCGTAGAGATGCATCTTCTCCACCAGCTGCTCGCCGGCCCCCATCCTTGTGAGCACGGCTTCCGTCTGCCTCAGTTTCCCCTCCAGCTCCTCCTTCCCCAGGCCATGCCGCCTCTCCACCTGCTCCAGCAGCTCCTGCCCCGGCTCCTGATCAGCTCCTGGGTTTCATTCCTCACCAGGTCCATGTCCTCAGCCTTGCTCTTCAGGTTTCTGTAGGCATCTTGGAAGAGTCCCTCCCTCTTCTTCAGCTGCTCTCTCCCACTGCCGAGCTCCCGCTGCCTCCGCTGGATTTCCTCCGTGATCTCGCAGTGCTTGCCCGCGTGCCGGCTGTCCAGCAGGGCACAGATGCAGCAGATGGGTTTCCGGCACTCTCTGCAGTAGATGCTGTTGATGACAGTACAATTGAAAGCCGCGATGCTTCCCCCACTCTGCTGGTGACCCTGCACACCCGTCCCAAGCCCGGCTCCTTCGTCTGGCGGGGCTGGGACGTGGCCAGGAGCACAGCTGGGGAGAGCCATTGCACCCGGCAGTGAGTGACACGCTGTCTGCCCCGCTGGCTTCCTAGGGACAGGCCTCCCCTCCCAACACGGCACCTGTGGCGAGTCCAGAGCTCCCCTCTCCTCGCCCGGCAACGGCCTGGACTAGGGCAGGGCCAGCTGATTCCCAGCCACCCCTCCTCCTCCGAGAGACATCCCAGTCCCTCCAGCTTCCACTGCCAGCCTGGGGGGCTTGCTAAAGAAAACAGGCCCCCCCCCCCAGCTAGGGTGCAGCCCTGCAGCGAACACGGCCAGCCCCATCGATGCCAGCTGGCCCGGTGTGGTTTGCCCCCAGCAGTGCCTGCCACGGTGCCACGGGCCTCTCTGAACCCCACAGGTCCGTGCCCTGAGCCAGCACAGCAGCTCCCAGCACGCCCAGGCAAGGGGCCGGGGCAGCGAAGAGCGAGGCTGGGGAGCAGAAGCAGAGCCAGGTGGGAACCTGCTGGGAGTGGGAGCCCCCCGGTGCTCTGCCGGGCCTTGGAAGAGACACTGGCTGGGCACGTTATGGACACTCCCCCCGCCTCCGCCTTTTCCATGTATTCACAACTGTCTGGGGATGAGCCGTAGCAGACTGATATTCTTACCTGGTAATGTAGTTCTGGTTATTGTGGGTGGGGTTGGAACAGAAGAGGATGCTGGACTTCCTTGCTCCCTCCACGAACTGTTTGGCAGATTCTGCCTTCAGCTCACTCACCCTCCTGGTTTCATGGCTTGTCTTCTTCAAGAACCACTGGTGGGCCTCGAAGCATCTGATGCAAAAGAACTCCTCGCACTCCGCGCACCAGAACTCAGCCGGCTCCCTGCAGCGGTCACAGACCAGGCCGCTGCCGCTGCGGATCTTCTGGTAGGTGCGGAGCTTGGCCTGCAGGTTGGCGAAGAGCAGGTTGTCCTGGTCTGGGATCCCGCTGGCTTGTGGGATGGGAGCCTGGCAGATGGGGCACTGGCCCACCGGCTTGTTCTCCTCCAGGCAGTCGATGCACAAGGTGTGAAGGCAGGACAGGAGCTTGGGACTCCTGGGCTCTTTGTGGCACCCCTGGCAGAGCAGGAACTGGAATTCTTCCTCCATGGCCTGCGGGAAGGGGAGAGAGGCCAGGCTTGCCAGTGCGGGCTAGCTCTGTTCTGCAGCCCAGGAAGGGAGATGGAGGACAGAGGAGGTCCCTGCGCTATGTGGGCACGACCCTGGACCCCAGGGCTATGTCTACACTACAAGGTTGTTGCGCAAAAACCCTGCAGTGTAGAAAAAGCCCAGGAAGGGAGCTTTGCTGCCCTGCTCTGGACCGAGAAGCAGAAAGACACTCTCCACATTGCCCTTGCCTACGGGGTCCAGGCTGGTAGATTTTGTGGGCCCCCTGGCTCTAGGGTGGGATCTAAAATGAGGAAACACTTTCTGGGCAGAGCTCCCCAGGGATGCACATGGCTTTGTGTCCTCTGCTGCTCCTATTGGTTGCAATTACAGCCAATCAGAGTGGCGCAGAAAAGCCTCCAGGCAGCGCCTTGCTGTGCTGCCCTTCCCCAGCTGGGGGGAGGGAGAGGAAGCAGCAGTGTGCAGAGCCACTTCCCCGCCCCTGCCCTCTCCCCCCCGCCCGGCAGAGCCTGTTGATTGAATCCAGCCCCGGCTTGCCTGACTCCAGCCTGAGAGGCTCAGAGCTCTCCCCTCCCTGGAGCAGAGACCCAGTGCTGTTGCTCTAGCCTTGTGGGACGGGCCATGGTGGGGGCGGGTACAGGTCTTGAGCGCTGGTGCTGGCTCCCAGATGCTGGGGTCCCAGCCTCAGGGGCCGGATCCAGGCAAGCCGTGGGCCTCATCCAGCCCTTGGGCCGTAGGTTCCCCACCCCTGAGCTAAGAAAGCTGCTACCATGATTCCTCACAACCCTGATGCACTCACGCTTCCACAGGCATGAGGGAGATCAGCCCATTTCACAGATGGGAACTGTGGCACAGCTCCTCACACGGGCTCTGAACCCCCTTGGAATCAATGGAAGTTAGGCACCTCCATCCATTTCAGGCTCTGGGCCTGCGTGACTTGCCCAGGTCACATGGGAACCAGTGGGGGCACCCACAATAGATGCCCAGGCTAGCACTAGGCCATGCTTGGGCCCCCCCAAAGCCCCCGGGGGGGGGGGGGGGGGGGGAGTGAAGGGGCTGGGTAACTAGCAGGCAACCCCAATCGCAAGCAGAAGATGCCCCAGAGCTGGGCACCTCTCCCCACTGCCAGGTTGTCTCTCACTTCCTGGCCCCCTTTGATGCCCTTTGCCCAGCTATTTCCCCTGCTGCATGGTCATTGCTGTCATGCTTGCCCTGGACACAGCACCCCCTTCAGAGGGAGGCAGGGTCCAGTGGTCCCTGGAAGCCGGGCACTTGTGAGGCTGCCCACCAGAGACCCAGTGCCGCCCAGCAGATTAGCAGAGCACCCCAGCGAGGTTTGTGTTCCTGTTGGTGGTGCCCAGCCTCCAGTGCACAGAACAAAACTTTTCCCTGGATGAATGGAGAAGATTAGAGGGAACATTGGCAGGGTCCCCAGGCATCTCTGCCTCCGGGCACATCCTGCTGCTTCTTCCTTTTGCACGTAGCAGAACGTCTCAGTCCCCAAACACTCCAGTCAACCCACGAGGGAGACAGTCCGACCACCCATTGCAATAAGCTCACCTGTTTCTGCAGGCTGCTTGGGCTCCCCGGGGACAAGAGAGCCATTGATCACCGGATCCTGCGCCGATCAGCGCGTCAGCTGGGGGCCAGGCCACGCCCCTGCTGGGTAACACGTCAGCTGGGTCTGACCGGTAAGTTTCGATTTCTGAGAAGAGAAACGAGTCTCTTGTCTTGTATCCGGCCTGTCAGAAGTTCCTTCCTGTGCAGCAGCGTCCCACCCTGCCCTCTGGTAACTGACTTGCCAGGGCTGCAGAGAAATACTGAGCATGCCCTGCCCTCCCTCCCAGAGAGGGAGCTTTCCCAGGCGATACTGAGATCCAAGCCTGAGCTCCCCAGGGTGTAGATCAGCATTGGACTCAGGGCCATCCCTGGCAATAGGATCAAATTGCCGTGGGCCGCTCATGCACTGCTGTGTATGGAGCAGTGCCGGCTCCAGCGGCCAACCCCTTCCCCCAGCTGCCCTCTTCCCCTGCAGGCTGTGCCCTGCAGGGATGTCCCTGGCACAGGGTGAGGGAGGCTGGTGACAAGTGGCCCAGGGCAGGTGCTGAGGCCCAGTCCCAGTGTAACATGCCTGGGATTCCTGGCACCATGCCATTCGCACCCCCTCTCCCTTCCCCACCCCCCACGCTGTGCTGGGTGCCGAGTGCTCCGAGACCCTGGCCTCCCCGCAGCCCATGGCTCAGGGACAGAGCAGAGGCCTCGCTCTCCCCGGCCAGAGTCTGTTCCACCGCTGCCCCCAGCCCAGCCCCGCGTGTCTCCGCTCCTGGGCAGGTCGACAGGCCGTGGCCGAGGGTCGATTCCTCGAGTCCAGTACTGCCGTGATAAATCGACCGCCCGGGCGCTCCCCTCGACTCGGGCACCTCAAGGGGCGCGGATGGGAGAGCGTCTCCTGTGGACGCTCCACGGCGGCGGCGCCAGGCATGGAGATCTGAGTGCATCGGCTTTGGCTACGCCGTCCCCACAGCTGAAGCCGCGTAACTGAGCTCGCTCTGCCCGGGGGGCTGCCCTGCCCTCCCCTCCCCTGCCCTCCCTAGCCAGGCCAGGGCGGAGAATCCGGTACTTACTGCAGTGCTGTACTTACTTCAGCCACAGCGGGGCACCAGCCTGCCGTCTGAAAGGCGCCTCCGCACTGCTCCATGGACAGGGCACAGGGCCAGTGGGGGGACTGCAGGAGCTCGGGTCAGGCTCCTCCTTGCTTATTGCAGCTGAGCTGATTGGTAGGGGCCAGAGTGCGCACCTCAGGTGGCTGGTTTGGGGCTCGTTCTCACTCCATGGAGTGAGGATCCCGGGAGGGACGAGGTGATCCCCAAAGGCAGAGGGCGGGGGCTGAGTTGCACCCACTGGGAGCCCAGCACAGGGCTGTGGCTGGGGAACGTTTTCCTCAGTTGCCAAATTATTCCCCGGGTCACCCAGTCCCCGACCCTGGAGGGCACCCCCTGGTTCTGCTGGTCCTCGATGGCCGTGGGGAGAGACTCCAGGGCCAGGCTCCCGTGTTTGCTCTGCTTTGCCACGGGGCTGAGCTGTGGGAAGGGAGCCCAGCTGTGGAGCAGGAGAGACGAGATGGCGGGTTACAAAGGCAGTGGGGCCTGACAGGGCACTCAGCAGGGACTGGGACTGATACAACCCTCACCTGCTGCTGTGCCCCGCCGCAGAGAAGAGAGGGGGTTGGAGCCCATGGGACTCGCTCTGCTCCCTGGGGACACCAAGGCTGTGTCTAGACTGGCAAGTTTTTCCGGAAAATCAGCAGCTTTTCCAGAAAAACATGCCAGCTGTCTACACTGGCCGCTTGAATTTCCGGAAAAGCACTGGCAATCTCATGTAAAATCATCAGTGCTTTTTCGGAAAAACTATGCTGCTCCCATTCGGGCAAAAGTCTTTTTCCAAAAAACGTTTGCCCGAAAGGGCCGGTGTAGACAGCACGGTAGTGTTTTCCGCAAAAAAGCCCCGATCGCGAAAATGGTGATCGGAGCTTTTTTGCAGAAAAGCGCGTCTAGATTGGCCACGGACGCTTTTCTGTAAAAAGTGCTTTTCTGGAAAAGCGTCCTGCCAATCTAGACGCGCTTTTCCGAAAATGCTTTTAACGGAAAACTTTTCCGTTAAAAGCATTTTTGGAAAATCATGCCAGTGTAGACGTAGCCCAAGGGTACGTCTAGACTGCAAGCTGCTTTCGAAAAAGAGTGGCCACACCTCAAACCAGATCGAAACCGTGGTCTGCTTTTTCGAAAGAGCGTCCGGACTGCATGGACGCTCTCTCCAAAGAAAGCCCTGATTGCTAGGCACAGAATGGCCACCTCTTCTTTTGAAAAATGTCCCTGTTCTGCAAACACACACGCCTGTTTTCGAAAAAGCTCTTTCAAGACAGGCGTTCTTCATCGTCATTTGAGGCTTACCAATGTTGAAAAAACCCTGCATTCTTTCCATTTAATTTCGAAAGAATGCAATTGCAGTGTGGACGCGGGGGAAGATGTTTTGAAAAAAGGGCAGTTTAAAAAAAAAAAAAAGTAGTCTAGACCTATCCCAAGAGTGGAGGGTTTTAAGGCAACCAGCACTCACCAGGTTTTTAAATGTGCACTGATGAATATTGCATGTGCAACACTTCACTGTCCTAGGTCATACTGAAATCTAGGGCAGGGAGAATTCTCTCGACAGTGCGAGCAAGGGGATTTTCACAGTTTCTTGCTGGTTGGAATAAAAGCCTGGGTTGCTGGCGATTGCAGGGAACGTGACTTTGTGCAGTGTGGCTGAAATGGTGAACTGCAGCTTGCAGAGCCCTGCACTTTCCTGCTTGTTTTGGGGCAAACTCAGTTTCTTGACGGTCAGGTTTTCTCCCTGCAAAGCATCGTCTCCAGGGGGCCTGCTGTCTCCATGGGTACCACCCTATGCAAGCAGCTTTGCAAGAGCAGGCCCTGATGGGTCACAGCGATCGTTCCCATTGGGCACAGGTAGGCTGGCCATATGTCAGAGGACACTGTCAGGAGGAAGAGGCAGAAGGAATCGGGGGGGAGGAGGAATGCATACGAGAGGGTCTTTGGGGGGTGTGCATGCATGGGGGGAAGAGGGGGGGGGGGTGTTGGGGGGGTGCTGGCAGGGGTACCTGCAGCCTGGCTCTCAAGTTAGGGGGCAGGGTTGCTCCTTGTCACCGTGGTAGGGCAGCTGGTGCAGGCCAGGGTGCAGTGACAGCTTGTCAGTCAGCATTTCCCTGCAGGTCTCTCCCTGGGGTGTGAAGCCAGCTCTAACCCTCACCCCGCCCAGCCAGGCTCTGAGGCCTGGGGTGGGCGGACGGGCAGGACCGGCTGGGGTGGGTTCTCATGTCAGGGCATGAGACAGCAGGAAGCTCTGCCTAAAACCCGGGGCATTTCCTCGTATTTGAAAAGTCCCCCCAGACAACGCTGGGCCGGGCCCAGGAGAGCCCCGAGGCTGGGAGCTCTAGGCCCGGGCAAGTGAGACTGGCAGAGCTCACTGCACGCAGCAGCTGGCACCATCCCGGCTCCATCAGCCAAGGAAGAGCTGGCACGTCCAGCCAGGTCCGGGCACCAGCCTGGCCCCAGCACGCTGCAGGCTGTGACAGGCAGCCTGCAAACAGGGCCAGCTGCTCCCTTCCCCCAGCCCTAGGCCCTGCCTGTTCTTGGCAGCAGGGAACTTCCTGCAGCTGCTCCTCCCTGCGGGTCACAGCGAAAACGAAAGTAACTGTGGGGCCTCTGCTTTGCAGGAAGCTGCTTGGCCACAGCAGCCAGACGTCCCCAGAGCCGTGGCAGGAGCTGGCTGTGCATCTGGTCTCCGTGCAGGTATTTGAGCTTCCGCTACCCTGGGGTGCCAGCATGCCCCGCAGAAGGGGGGGCCCTGTGAGACAGCCCCAGCCCCCCTCTGGGAGCCCTGCCGCGAGAGACACCCCAAGAGCCTCTGCACCTCGCCGTGCCGTGCACCAGGGAGAGATGCACCCGGCGTTTTGGGGGGCCCTGTGATGCGGCCGGCAGGGGGCTCTCCCAGAGGGGCTTGGCTGGTGGAGTTGGCTCTCAGAGCTGGCACCCTACCAGCGCATGCCTATCCGCCTTCCTCCCCAACGGCCCAGCCCCACAGCACCCTCCCGTGGCCAGGCCAAGCAGACCGCTAGGAGCCACCTTCCCCCACAGCCTGGAGCACTAGCTGCAGACTCCTGGCTCCAGCGCTGTGGGGGGCACTGCAGCTGCTTTTATACAAGGCTTGCATTGGCTAGCCCCTCTCTCCCCCCATTGGCTGTGCCATCTCTCCGAGCCGTCTGGACTCCGCTCCACTGCTCCTCCCCTAGGACCGGTACGGGCCCCCTTCCCCATCCCGCTGTCCAGACACAAGGGCGGCAGGGCGCTGGGGAACCCAATGTGAAAGGGGTTTTAAAATACCCTGCCCGCTCAGCTGGCGATATTGCTGCTCTTCCAGAGAGACACGCCTCCCTCGCTCACTGGGGCTCACAGCAGAGCAGCACTGGCCACCCCAGAGGCCTCTCTCCCCTTCCCGCAGGCCATGGAGGAAGAATTCCAGTTCCTGCTCTGCCAGGGGTGCCACAAAGAGCCCAGGAGTCCCAAGCTCCTGTCCTGCCTTCACACCTTGTGCATCGACTGCCTGGAGGAGAACAAGCCGGTGGGCCAGTGCCCCATCTGCCAGGCTCCCATCCCACAAGCCAGCGGGATCCCAGACCAGGACAACCTGCTCTTCGCCAACCTGCAGGCCAAGCTCCGCACCTACCAGAAGATCCGCAGCGGCAGCGGCCTGGTCTGTGACCGCTGCAGGGAGCCGGCTGAGTTCTGGTGCGCGGAGTGCGAGGAGTTCTTTTGCATCAGATGCTTCGAGGCCCACCAGTGGTTCTTGAAGAAGACAAGCCATGAAACCAGGAGGGTGAGTGAGCTGAAGGCAGAATCTGCCAAACAGTTCGTGGAGGGAGCAAGGAAGTCCAGCATCCTCTTCTGTTCCAACCCCACCCACAATAACCAGAACTACATTACCAGGTAAGAATATCAGTCTGCTACGGCTCATCCCCAGACAGTTGTGAATACATGGAAAAGGCGGAGGCGGGGGGAGTGTCCATGGTAAGGCCAGGCCTGGGCGTCTAGACAACTTAAGACCCTTTCTTCCTGCCCCAAGATATGAGGGTAACACCCATTGACTTCCACAGGAGTCATGTAGCAAGAATATGGCCCCTGGATTCTATTCTGTGCCCCACTATGTGACCTGGGGCAAAGCGCGGCCTCCTCACCTGTAAAATGGAGCTAGCTCTCTTTCAAATGGCCTCAGCACTAGGGACGTGAAGGACCAGTCGACTGTCCGATAAGCAAATGCAAGTCGACTAGTCCCTTCCCTCCCCCCCTTGCTGCCTCTATCAGAAAGAGGCAGCAAGGGCGAGGACAGTGGGGGAGAGGAAGGGGTACTTCAAAGCAGCAGTGCCGCTTGATGCCTGGGGCCAGACTCCGGGCTCCACGTGGCACTGCTGCTTTGAAACGCTGCATGCAGCCCAGGCCCAGCGGGGGTGTCCCCAGGTTGCACATGGCATTTCAAAGAGGCCATGCTGCATGGAGCCGGGGCTCAGCGGGGGAGTCCCCAGCTGATCCTGGGCTACATGCAGCACTGCCGCTTTGAAACACCGCAGGGAGCCCGACATAGACTCCTTGTGGCGTTTCAAAGTGGCAGAGCTGCTTGGAGTCCAGGATCAGTCCCCAGGTTCAGTCCACACGGCGCTTTCATCCTAAGGCTGTTGCTACACTTCAAAGGCAGAATCGCCCTATCGACGAATCAAAGATCCTTACTCTGCTCTGGGGATGTTAGTGTGTCATCGGTTACACGATTACCAATAAGCCTGGATTGATGTAAATCGGCCTGGCTCCTCTGATTGCAGCACAGCTACCAGGGATGTGAATGGGTAACCAGTTACCTGGTAAACATCAGTCTTAGTGAGCAATGCTTACCAGGTACCTGTTAATGGGTCTCCAGGAGCAGCTCCCCTCCCCCGGCCTACCATGGGCAAAGGGCTGCCTCAGACAGGCCGGGAGCAAGGGGCAGCCCCAGGTCTGGGGCCAGGGCTGGGAGCAAGCCCCTGACCCCAGGACCCGGAGCCTCCTGCCGCCACCGGCAGCTCCACTCCAGCCCCAGCCCTGAGGCTGGATCCCACTTGGTCGGTTAACTGGTTAAACCTCCGCTTAACCTGATGTTTAACTGGTTAACTGACTAACCAGGATTTTGCCTCCATAACGATGACTGGTATTAACACCTGCTGAGGAGGGTCTGGCCCAGAGAATCTTTAAGGAATTCCCCAGCATGAGAAGGGAATTTCCTCAGGATGCAGCTATTATCCCATTAGGTCCCGGCCCTTGTCCTCTGTGCCAGCGGGGAATGCTTTGGTTAGAGGTAGATAAATATTTGAATCAAAACTCAAAATTCTGGCTAACTGGGAACCTTTCAAGGTCTTATTTTTCCTTCTCCTCCCTCCACTTTCTATGTTTTCCCGGTGCCCCATCACAAGAGCCTTGGGTGGGAAATCATTTTCCCATCCCGCACACGTTTTGGGACTTGAAAACTTTTTCCTCATCCTAAATTGGGACAGAGTCAGACTCCCAATGATATTTGCAAAATGAAAACCTGTTTCTATTTGGGTCAATTGAAACATTTTGTTTAGTTTTTAACCTTATTGTTCTTTTTATAAAGTCTTTTTGTATAATTAGCTGAAATTACGGTTGTAAAAATGGTAGCGCTGTAACCGATCAATTCTCAGTTAAACGGGGGAGGGGAGGGAGAGAGGGAAGGGTGCTGGAGGGCCCCTGCCTATTGGCTCCACATGCTTTGGGCTGCTGTGGGCTTCACCAGCTGCCGCGGGCTGCCACCTGCCATGGGCTGCTGCGGGCTTCATGGGTTGCTGGCTGCCCTAGGCTGGCGGCGGGCTCTGGGCTGGCGATGGGCTCCAGCTCCAGGTTGATTCCAGGGTGCCAGCTGCCAGGGGTCCAGGCTGCCAGGCTCCAGGCTGCTGGGGGGCTCCAGGCTGCTTAGTGTTTAACTGCTAACCAGCAGTGCTAAGCATCAGCTTGGCAGTGAACGAGTTAAACTCTTACACCCCTAACTGAGATGTCTTTGAAAAATTGGAAGGAAACCCCTGGAAATGTCTCTTGACATTCTGTTGAGTTGGGAAACTTGTCAGCCCCAAACCCGCGTGGGAAGGGTTTCACTTAGGAGACCAACTGGCATTTTTCAGTGTAAAAACGTTTAGCGGGAAACGTCCTGCCGATTGCCTGGCTCTAGCCGCGAGGCTCCGGAGGTGGCCACAACCAAAGGCCGTGCCCCAGCCCCAGTGTCGCCCAGGCAGTGAGCTGTGGAGCAGAGGGGCCGTGGAGGGTGCTTTGAATTAAGCTGCATGTGTCTGCATCAGCAGTATCTACTGCCGAGGGTGTTTGAAGCCGCTCTGCTGCGCCTGCGCCCTCCTGGACAGCGAGCACACCAAGCTCTACTGCAACATCCAGACAGAAATCGAGCGGCGGCAGCGGGAGCTGGGGCACCTGAGCGAAGAGCTGAAGAGGAAAAAGGCCCATTTTGAAGATGCCCACAACAGCCTCAAGGACATGGCTGAGGACATGGACCTGGTGAGGAATGAAACCCAGGAGCTGATCCGGAAGAGGGTGGAGCAGATGGTGCAGCTGATCCAAGAGACGGGGCAGGAGCTGCTGGAGCAGGTGGAGAGGCGGCATGGCCTGAGGAAGGAGGAGCTGGAGGGGAAACTGAGGCAGACGGAAGCCGTGCTCACAAGGATGGGGGCCGGTGAGCAGCTGGTGGAGAAGATGCATCTCTACGCGTCGGACCAGGAGGTGATGGACATGCACCCCCTCATCAAGGGCTCACTGGAGGAGCTCAGGAAGCTGCAGCCCCCGGCAGCGGGAGCCAGTGTCCAGGCTGAGGACTTTGCCGAGTGCAAAGCCAGACTCCAAGCTCTGTTTGTAAGAGTGACCGGGGAGAGAGGTAAGACCTGAGAGAAGTGGGGTGGGATGGGGCATGGCTGCATGATGCTGTGTCTGAGCGCCTTGCGAGGTGGCCTCCATGCACCTCCTCCCCGACCTAGAGCTCCAAACCGGGGCAAACGTCTCCCTCTTGCTCCCTGTGGAATCAGGAAGATGTTACGCCTCAGGGCAGCTACGTTACTGTCAGCCTCTCAGGTGTCCAGCTTTGAGTACCTGGCCCTCGTTCACCAATGCTCCAACTTTCAGGAGGGTGGCAGGTGATGGCAGATGTGCTGGTTCACCCTTGGTCCTGTTCTCCTGACTCCCATCGCCCGTCCTGTGGGTCCCTTGTTCCCACCAGTGCACAGGGGTCAATAGCTCCCTTGCTCACCCTCCCTTGCAACTGCTGCTTGACTGGGTGGCCCGAGGTGCAGAACAAGGGAGAAGCCAGCCTGTGTGGATGCCACTGGGCCCGCTCATCAGCTAAACGGCTTAAGTGCTAGGAGTTGCCCCTTCAGCATAGGAGGATGTTTCCCAAAAGCAGGGCCTCCAGGTTTCAAAGCCCCAGGACCTCCCCCGGTGAGGCCATTCCCACCTCACTCCAGACCTCGTGATGCTCTGTGCAGAAGCAGGAGGCCAGAAGCCCCCTCGGCGTAACTCCAGTGCAGTCAGTTGCACCAGGCGTGAGGCTGGTCCATCAGAAGCGCCACCGAGAGGTCTGTGGCCCACTGCCCGTGCAATGCGTGACGTGCTCGTCACTGCTCTGGTGCTGCTGGATTCCTGGCTAATGGAGCAGGCACCTATGCCCCTAGCTCATCCAGAACCAAGCAGCCAGGCTTCTGAGGAGGGATGGGAGCCAGAATGAGGCAAGCCAGACCTTCCTGCTACAGGCCTTCTGCCAAGGCCTCTCCCCGCTCTGCTGCTTGCAGGGCACGTGGACACTCTGCCACCGCAGTACCAGGAATCTGCCCCTCAGAGCAGCCCCACCCGGCTCCCTCTCCTTTGCAGATGCTGTCTCCTGTGCCGCTGCCCCAGCAGCTCCAGTGACGGAGGTGACTTTGGTGACGGACCTGGTGAGAAGCGCTATTTGCATCCCCCTTTCTCCTGGGGCGGGGCGGGGGAGGCACTGACGCTGGGCTGCTCCCCCATGCTGTCCTGGCTGCGTTTCCATGCATGCCGAGCGGTAAGGAGCGCAGAACTGGACGAGGAGCGTGGCGAGACCCAGTCCGGCATGGATGGGAGTGTGGCTGCCACGTCCCTCCCACTGGGGCCTCGCAGGGGGAAGGCAGTGGAGGGAGCAGGACGCCTCGTTGTGCTGGAGGTGAGGTTCTCCCCCGGCCTGCCCCAGTGCACTCCTTGCACCATGAGCCTGAAACCGAGGAGAGACAAAGGAGCCTGGTGTGAATGCTGCCCCACAGCACTTCCTGGGCGGGTCCCTGCCGCCTGCTTAGGGGCTGTTCTCCTTCCCCAGGCCGCCCCAGGGAAGAGACCAGGCCAAGCCGAAAAAGCCATCCAGACACCTCCCAAGGTGCTGAAGCTTGAATCTCCGCCTCAGCCACTAGAGAGCACCCCCCACAAATGCAACCAGGACTTGCCAGACTGGGACCTGCAACCTGGGCCCAGCACCTTGATGCCCAGCAGAAACTGCGGCGGGGCCCTTGCAGCCAGGGGAGCCGTGCTGTCCCGGGAGCTGGGGAATGCCCATCAGGAGCCCCGAGAGCAAGGTAGGAAGGGCTGATTTGGAACCGTGCGGGGAGGTCATCAGGGAAACGTGGAAAGGGGAGCTTGGGCCAAAGCAGGCAGATGTCACCATGAAGAGTGTCCTGAAAGGAACGTGGCCATTGCGTGGCCTCACCTCCACGCTTCTGGCCTTGTCATTTGCACCTTCCATGCTCATGGAGGCAGCAAGGCAAAGGCAGTACAGCCTAGTGGATAGGGCCTGGGACAGGACTCAGCCAAGTTTGCCAACACTGTAGTTTTTTAAAAAAGGGACTGTTTATTAGGGCTGTTGATTAATTGCAGTTAACTCACATGATTAACTCAAAATTAATCACTATTTAAAAATGATTAATTACACTTTTAATTGCACTGCTAAACAACAGAATACCAATTGAAATGTATTAAATATTTTGGAGTTTTTCTATATTTTTCAATTGCAACACAGAATACAAAGTGTACACTGCTCCCTGTATAATTTTTATTACAAATATTTGAACTTTAAAAATCTATATAGTTTAGGGAGTTATCTGTCCGTTTGTCTGATAAAGAACTCTTCCTAACCAGGAAGAGCTAGGACCACCAAATTGGGTATGCAGCTTCCTCTTATCCTAACTTAAGACAAGATAAGGGTTTGGCTGTGCCAGGAAATCGGGATGTGCCTGGAATGGGATTGCGTCTCATAAAACCAAAAAGGAAAAAGACAATCAGCAGATCAAGTACAATCCTCAAAACTGACATAACTGTGGGGATGTTGAAAGAGACTGAACCAAGAGGAGCCAGAAACATAGGCTGGACCTGCAATAGGATTGTTTCTCCATACACGTTACAGAAAAAGCTATAAAACAGAGACATTTGGAATAGAGCTCTGTTTTGGTGCAGCTAAATCGATGCTATGGGAAACCAAATTGACTATAGCCCTGTTTTGTTAAAATATAGCAAACAATAAGAGTTTATAAGGCTGAAAAAATACTTGATGGAATTCCCATTTTAGAAAAATTATGAAAAAATTAAATGGGCAAATTTTAACAATCCTATTTTAGAAATCTGAAATAAAAATGACACTATTTTTGAGCATTCAACTAAAGCATGTACATTTTTTTTCCCCAAAAAAAACCCCAACCTCTCAACTTTCATTAAAGACCCGAGTAACTCTGGGTAAATCTGCTAGTGATAAATAAAATAAATCTTATTTTTCAGTGTCCCTCATACAAGTACAATTTACCTCGTACAAGTGGTGCAATCTCTTTATCATGAAAGTGCAACATGAAAATATAGATTGTTTTTATTTTTGAGTGCAGGTATGTAACAATGTAAAACTTTAGCGCCTACAAGTCCACTCAGTTCTCCGCCTTTTTCAGGCGGTCACTCAGAGAAGCAAGTTTGTTTCCATTTGCGGGAGATAATGTTGCCCGCTTCTTATTTCGCCTTTTTCAGGCGGTCACTAAGAGAAGCAAGTTTGTTTCCATTTGTGGGAGATAATGTTGCCCGCTTCTTATTTACAGTGTCATCTGAAAATGAGAACAGGTGTTCACTTGGCATTTTTGTAGCAGGCATTGCAAGGTATGTATGTACCAGAGATGCTAAACATTCATGTACCCATTTGTGCTTCAGCCACCATTCCAAAGGACATGCCACCTTGCTGAAGATGCTCATTAAAAAGAATGCATTAATTACATTTGTGACTCAGCTCCTTATGTCTCCTGCTCTGTGTCTTATGCACATTCTGCCATATTTCATACTATAGCCAGCATATGTTGTTTGTCGTAAGAACACATTCACTCAGAATCGACAAAAGGCAAAGGAGGTGCCAGCGAGTTCTAAAGAGAGCTACAGCATCTGAGCCAAGATTTAAGAATCCGAAGTGGCTTCCAAAGTCTTCAGGACCACGTATGGAACAGCTTTCAAGAGCAACACTCTGATGTGGAAACTACAGAACCTGAAACATCAAAGAAGAAAATCAACCTGCTACTGGTGGCATCTGACTCAGCTGGTGAAAAGGAACGTGCATCGGTGTGCTCTGCGTGGGCTCGTTATTGAGCAAAACCTGTTGGCAGCATGGACACGTCCTCTGGAATGGTGGTTGAGGCATGAAGGGACATGGATGTTTAGCACCGCGAGCATGTCAATATCTTACCAGGCTGGGTACAACGGTGCCATCTGAATGCTTGTCCCCACTTTCAGTGACCGTGTGAACAAGAAGCAGGCCGCATTGTCACCTGCAATGTAAACAACCCTGTTTGTCTGAGTGGACAAGAAATAGGACTGAGTGGACTTGTAGGCTCAAGCTTTATATTGATTTATTTTTTGACTGCAGTTTTTTGTACCGAATGCTACATTTGTAAATTCAGCCTTCAGGATAGAGAAACTGTACTATAGTATTTATATTCAGTGAATTGAAAAATACTTTTTTGTTTTGTTTTTTACAGTGCAAATATTTGTGATAAAAATAAATATCACGTGCACACGGTACATTTTGTATTGTCTTGTAACTGATATCAATATATTTGAAAATGTAGGAAACACCCAAAATATTTAAATAAATAGTATTCTATTGTTTAACAAAACAATTAATCATGGCTAATTTATAAGCTACTTCACAGCCCTAATTGTTATTAATTAACAATAATGAGCAGGGATCCTAGAAATGTTTTCTATGGAAAAACAGAGAATGTGCATTTTAACAGAAAAATCCTAAGCAGCATGGGGCCAATTGTCTGGCGTTCGCATCAGGCTGGGGAGCAAAGCTGACCCAAATCTCCTTCTGGCCTTGCCCCACCCCGCCCTGCGTGCCAGCACACCCTGAGCTGCATCTGCCTCTAACAGCTGCAAGGCACCAAAACCCAGATCCCCAAAGAGATTTGGGTGCCTAACTGCCAATGGGAATCCATCGTGTTGCACAGCCAGGCTGTTCCGACCACACCCTTCCAGGTGTCCCTGCTCCCAGGGTGGGCAGCGAGGAGGGGCTGTGAGACAGGCCCTGCGCCGCCAAGTACCACACTGGGGTTGGGCACCTTCTCCTGCCCACTTGGCAGGTTGGTGAGGCCAAAGTGCTCTGGCCAGAGAGGTGCAGCCGCAGGCCAGGCAGGGGTCGAACGCAGCCACTGGCTTGCCCACACTGTACTGAGCCCTTTAGTACGAGACTGGCGGGGAGTTTCCCAGAGTCAGCCTCGATCTCCCGGCTGCAGTGAGAACGTTGCAGACAGAGGTGAAAGAAAGGGGGGTGCAGCCGCGTGCGCAGCAAAAGCCAACAGGGAGCTAAAGCGCTGACAGGGACCTGGGTTGTGAAAGGACGGGGCCTGTAAGAAATGTAAGTTACTGTCACCCCGATTCCCGGAGCTGTTAAGAGGCCAAAAGTCCAGCCAGTGGTAGCAGCACCAGGGGGCCCAGGGAGGCTCCCTACCTGCCCAGGCTCTGCACGGCTCCTGGAAGTGGCTGCATTTTTCCGTGGCTCTAAGGGGCAGGCAGGGGTAGCCAGTGCGTGTCAGCCTGCTGCCTTTGCCCTGAATGCCACCTCTGCAGCTGGGAAGCCGCAAGGACCTGCTGCCACTTTCGGGAGCCACCCAAGATAAGCGACATCTGACCAGAGCCTACACCCCCTCCTGCACGCCAGCCCTGAGCCCCCTCCCAAAACCTGCTCCCCGCACTCCCTGCTGCACCCCAAGTTCCTGCCCCCCTGCGCAGGGAGCCTGCCTCTGCCCCACTGCACCGCCTGCTGACTGGACTTGTGGCATATTAAAATCTTCTTCAGTGTCAACCCCCTGCTCCAGACCAGAGCCCCCGCCCCGAGCCCCCTCCTGCGCCCCAGCTCTCTGTCCCAGCCTAGTGAAAGTGAGAGAGGGTGGGGGAGAGGGGGTAGAGAGCAGGGGCCTTGGCATGGCCAGGGCGTTAGACAGTTAGCAACCCTACCTCCAAGCCAGGTCAGCAGGACACAGACAATCCAGGAAGTGTTGGGAGAGTGTTGGGGACACTTCCTGGTACAAGTGCTGAAGGAACCGACCAGGGGCCGTGCACAGCTCGACCTGCTGCTCACGAACAGGGAGGAACTAGAGAGGAAGTAGAGGTGGGTGACAACCTGGGAAGCAGTGATCACGAGATGGGAGATTTCAGGATCCTGACCAAAGGAAGAAAGGAGAGCAGCAGTGGCTGAGAAGCTGGATATGAGGTAACAGGGCGCCCTGGTAGCCAAGAAGGCTAATGGCATACTAGGGTGCATTAGGAGGAGCATTGCCAGCAGATCTAGAGAAATGGTTATTCCCCTTTATTCGGCACTGGTGAGGCCACATCTGGAATATTGTGTCCAGTTCTGGGCCCCCACTATAGGAAGGATGTGGACGCATTGGAGAGGGTCCAGCAGAGGGCGACTACAGTGATGAGGGGGCTGGAGCACATGAGCTATGAGGAGAGGCTGAGGGATCTGGGTTTGTTTAATCTGCAGAAGAGAAGAGTGAGGGGGGATTTGAGAGCAGCCTTCAACTTCCTGAAGGGAGGTTCCAAAGAGGATGGAGAGAGGCTGTTCACAGTGGTGGCGGATGGCAGAACAAGAAGCAATGGGCTCAAGCTGCAGTGGGTGAGGTCTAGGTTGGATATTAGGAAAAACGATTTCCCTGGGAGGGTGGGGAAGCCCTGGGCTGGGTTCCCTAGGGAGGGGGGAATCTCCAGCCCTAGAGGTGTTTAAGTCCTGTCTTGACAAAGCCCTGGCGGGGCTGATTGTGTTGGGGTTGGTCTGGCTTCGGGCAGGGGGCTGGACTCGATAACCCTGAGGTCTCTGTGCCCTGGGATTCAATGCAATGTAAGGCTGTTGCTGGATCGGGGCCATAGGAGGGGTCTGTTTTCAGAGGCTAGGCTGGCGAGGCCAAAAGATACAAGAAGGGTTTTTCCACCTAGGAGAATTCTCTCCCCCGGCCGTGGGCTGAGAACCAATCAGTGGCCCACCAGCAGAGGGAATGGGAGGGGAGGAGAGTCCGTCAGAGAGGATGGGCTGTTTCCATGGAGCAAGGCAGCTTCCCGCTGGCTCCTGGGATGCAGGGCAACCAGCAGAGGAGCTGGCAAGTGGCAGCGAGGGGGCTAGCCTGCCAGGGTCGGCATGAGCAGGCGGGCAGCAGGCCCTGGGAGAGGTGTGGCAGTCGTGGGCCCAGACAGGGAGAGACAGGCTAGCAGCAGGGAGCGGTTTCAGTGTTCACATTGCACATTCCCCCCCCCCACACACACACACACTTTAATAACTCCATGCGTACCCAGTCATCAGGAAACCCCCCGGCCAGCCTGCAGGGTCTGGGTGGGCTGTAGTGACGCAGTCTTAGCCAAGACTCCTTATGCAGGGTGAAGGGCTGGGTTCCCTAATGGTCACAACAGCTGAGTTAAAATTCAGTGAGCTGAAGCTTCAACAGATAAACTCAAATGTCCATTGATGGAGCCTTTTCAGTCCCTGCAGAGCATCTGGCTTCTCAGGCTCTTTCCTGGCATGGCCCTGTGTACGGCAAAGAAGTTCAGCAAGCCCCCCGTGCAGTAACTCTGAGACTTCTCCCATCTAGGCGTAAAGAAAAGTCCCAGCCCCCATGTGGGATCTGGACCGCAGGAGGAGAATCCATGTCCTGGAGCAACTTGTAGACCCCCGGGTTTTCCTGGGTCCATGTACGGACAAACAGGGCACGGGCTAGCCAGTGACCCAGAGAGCAGCGGCAGCAGGTGGTCACAGGAGCCGGAAGTAGGAGGAAGGGAGGAAAGTGAGACCTAGGTGAGGAACAGAAAAGCCAGGCTGATTAGAAGGGGCGATGCTGGAAATGCTGCCAGAAGCTCCAGAGGAGAGGGTAGCGCCAGGGTTCTCAGCTGGGGGGCAGGAGAATCAGCTGGGGGGCAGGAGAATCAGCACACACAGCAGTGAAGGAAACTGGCACTCTCACTGCTGTGCCCTGCCAGTGGAGAAGGCTCTCGGGCAGCAGTCATCTGCCAGCCTGCTAGGTGGCCCCTCCAGCCCTGCATGGTTGGGGAGGGTCCCACGCCGCTTTGCCAGACTTCCTCTGTCCTGCGTCCCTTTCTGCACAAGCCCTCGGTGGCTCTCCCGCTGTGCCTGTTCCGATGGGCACCTGACGCCCTGTCTTCTCTGTGCAGAGGACTCCAGCATCGTGATAAGCAGCTCGGAAGATACCGATGAGGACACGGTGGTGAGTGCGGTCAGAGCTCAGCTGTGCAGTGGCGGGGGCACCAAGGCTGTTGTCCCAGCAATACCGTGCACTAAAGGTGTGGCACGTCCTGAGAAGCCACATTCATCTGCCTGCCACGTACTCCCCAGGTCCCTAGGCGTGGGCGAGAGGCCTCTCCTTGGCTGGAGGAGTCAGCAGCAGAGGTGGAAGCGAGCGGGTTGCCTGGGGGGCAGAAGCCAGCAGGGGCTATGGAAAGAGCTGGCAGGGACAGGCCCCAGTCCCTGTGAGAAATGCTAAGTTCATCAGGCAAGTTACATTTACCCTCCTCCTCTGGGCTCCTCCCCATCCCCCTGCCAGAGTCCGGGACCTGCCGGCGTGTCGTATTTCCAAGCAGGCTCTGGCATCTGCTCAGCAAGAGGGCTCGTCCTCGGCTTGCTTGCTCCCTGTCTTCTCCCTCAGCCTCGCTGCCGTTTCTCAGTGCTCAGCAATGGGGTGAGCTCTTGCTCCTGGTAAAAGCAAGGAGAGGTCCTGAGCTTCTTTCTCATTGGCTAAGAGACCTTTCAGCATGCAGCCAATTGTAGGCTGGCTCCCCCAGCACTGGCTCCTGCTCCCCGCCTTGCTGCTTCTGATAGGGGGGGAGCAACTAGTTGAGTAGTGCCTTGACTACCCGATAAGCCTAGGTTTGTCGGGTAGTCGACTACTCCACTAGTCTCTTACCTCCTAGGGTGTGTCTTACCCAAGCACAGTGCCCTCGGCCGAGGGAGAAATGGGTAGCTGAATGCCAGCCAAAGAAGGCGAATTCATCCCTGCTGTAAGCCCGCTGAAAGCCAGAGACCACACAGGCAGTATTTGGCCCAAGGTGTCAGCCCGTCTCAGACATGCCCTCCCCTCCCCTCCTCATTCACTGACTGTGGAACAAATAACGCACATCCCCGCTCCCTTACAAACATCGGAACACGAGAACGGCCACACGGGGTCAGACCAAAGGTCCATGCAGCCCAGGGTCCTGTCGGCCGACAGTGGCCAGCGCCTGGTGCCCCAGAGGGCATGAACAGAACAGGGAACAATTCCAGTGATCCCTCCGTTGTCCGACAAAAGAGTTTGCGGATGTTTTCTTTTCCTGGTTTATAAGAAACATAAGTGACCAGCGACTAATCAGAGATGGCCCCACAGAAGTAAAGATCTGGATTCAGATCCAAAGTTTGCTCCTTGCCTGAGATTTCCAACCGTCTAAGGATACTGTGAAACCTCTTAATGAAAATTACAGCTCTTTTGCACATCCCTATACTTAATGTTTCCAGTTGTCCAGCCCCAAAATTCTGCCCAAAGTTGTTCTGGTTGAAATGTTCTGGTGCTATTCTTTATTGATGACACTTCTATAAAAATTAAATGGGAGGAAGTATCCTTTATAGAAGTTGGGAGGAAGACCTTCTTCTAGTTTCTTCAAGCTTAACATGGACAGTGGCTCTGTGGTACACAACAGAACAAAATGCATGAAAATCATTTATTATAATTGTTGCTAGCAGCACCTGATCTACTTAAGACTGAGTTCCAGCTTGCTCTTTCAGGGGCTCATAATGTACTGCACAGACAAAGGTAGGCTAGGGATGTGATAGTGTAGTCGATTAACTGATTAACCGATAAGCAAAAGCTTCTAAGTTAATGCTACAGACTACAGGCATTTCTCCCGCACCCCTTACCAGTACGTTTTTTAGCAGGCTGGCCAGCAAGCCAGCTCAGTCTCAGCTCGCCCTGGGTCCTGGACCTACCCCCGCTGTGGCTCTGTATTTAAAGTGTATTAGGAGCCAGGTGGGCAGGCAGCCCGGCTCAGTTCCAGCTCCTACTGGGTCCAGGAGCTCAGACCCCCCCACCTCCGGACAGGGCTGCCCGGGGTTTATAGAATAGTTGACTAACAGATAACTCCGGACAGGGCTGCCTGGGGTTTATAGAATAGTTGACTAACAGATAAGAATTCATGAGGTTAATCGACTATTCAATTAACCGATATTTAACATCCCTAATGTAGGCTTCAATTTTGTTTCTTTTTGACTCAGCCTAAGTTGTTTGTGAGTTATTGGAGAGTTTGGGAGTGGGCAAATAATCGTTACTATTAGTTCCCATCAGAAAATGCTCGCAAATAACTCAGTGTGACTAAAATGGAGAGGATCTAATTCTTCTCTCACTTCTGTTGCTTTTATTTTGGTAAACCTCAATTTCAGTGCACTCACTCTTGAGTTCCATTGGAATAGGTGAGAGAAAAATTAGGCCCAGGAACTTCAAATTAGTCTTGGGCTTTTGGTCTCACTTGCCTCATTAAGATTTAACGCCAAAGGCTATGTTTGCAGGCATTTGGTTTAGATGGTTTGAAGCTTGGAATGTTTAAAATCGTGGTTTTGTGTGTCTGCATTAGAACTTTCCTGTTTTTTACTTGTTTCAAGGATGACTTTGTCAACGATTCCGCCAATGTACAAACCATGCGGCATTCTCAGAGTCAAAAGATGAGTCTCTCCGATTGAAAGAATTTACCCATTCTGCTCAAGGAATAGGCAGAACTTTTAAGATCTGAGACCAAATAGCTTCATTTCAAGAAACTTACAAGATCAGTTGAGAAAGACTAAATTAAGGATGTCCTATTAAAGCATATTTTCATTGAAGACTCTAGGGGCTGAACCTTTTGGAATTTATAAGCCTCAAAGAGAAGAGAATTTTTAGCAAAGACCAAAGATGATGAATATGGCAGAGATTGCCTGTTCCGAGCTGATTTGACCCAGACCAAGGGTGAAGTTAGATGTGATGAAAAGCAATCGACACCAGTGGGAGACTTTGCATTGCCTTCATTGGGCTTTCGGTGAGCCCTTGGGGCTTTGATGGATGGAAACATTAGCAAATGAGGTTTCCTGTTGTTGGCTAGTCACTGTCAGATCAGCATTAACAGTTATGTGGGGCCTAGAAAAATGGGGCCCATCTTTAATGCCTGGGACAGAGGATAAGCTCTTCAGTGTGTAGAAACATTAATAGTAGTTATAGTATTAATAGTAGGTAAAATTCCATGCAATACTTTGGAAAGGTCCCTGCTTTGAAACAGTAATAGACATCCACACGATTCATGGTTTAACTACATGACAACTTCCGGTGGCAGATGTCCTTAGAAGTAGAAAGGCAGTGAGCTGGTGGGCTGGGGAGGAAGCTGTTTTTTGGGGAAGGGGTTGGATATGAGATTGGGTTGGGGGCCCTGGTTTTGGGGAATGCAATGCGGAGATGCTTTTATATAGTATCATAGTGCAGGATGTACCCGCAATAAAATGATTTCCAAACCAAAAGCAACCCACTGACCTTTTCCATACTTGTTTCCTGTCGCCTTCCACCGCCGCCACTTCCCTTTCCAGCCTGCAGCCGTTACTTCCCGGACACGGGGCAGCATTGTCGCTTCCCACATCCCCCCGCCGCTTTAGGTTTGGTTTTAGTGCTCTGTATCCTGCAGCCTCTAGCCGCAGAGCGACTCTTGGTCTTTCCCAGTGGAAGCCAGGAATACAACATGGAGTCTGAAGACCCCTAAGGGAGAGTCTCTGGTATTAGGATCATGTGCCCCAAGATGTTGCTTGCATTCCCTTCCCCGATACAGACAGGCTGGGTGGCCAACTAAGAATCGGGGGTTGGAGGTGTCATGCTCTCCCAAGCCCCTCACACTTGGAACTTTACATGTCACCTCTGTTTCTGCACCCGGGGCTTTATGCCCTGCCTGGCTGCCCCACTCACCCTGCCCTGGCACTAGACTCATAGACTTAGACTCGTAGACTTGAAGGCCAAAAGGATGCACCATAATGAATGAGTCTGACGTGCACCGAATCTCCCTCCCCATCCCTGTAACAGCCCCCGAGCTCTGCCTGAGTTACCGGAGTCCTCACATCAAGGTACGGAGAGTCTGCCACTTGCATGAGCCTGGTGACCAGTTAGAGTGTGAGCACGTGCACAAGGCCCACCAGCCAGCCCTCAGGGCAAGAATTCTCTGTATAACTCAGAGCCCCCCCCATCTAGTGTCCCGTCGCCAGCCCTGGGCAATGTCTGCCACTGGCCACCTGCCCTTGCAGGCAGTCCCATCAGCCCACCCCTCCAGAAACTTCCCAGGCTCCGCCTTGAAGCCAGTGAGGGTTTTGGCCCCACTGCTCCCCTTGGCAGGCTCTTCCAGAACTTCCCTCCTCCCATGGTTACAACCCTTGAACCAATTTCAAGCCTAAACTTGTTAATGGCCCCTTAATATCCATTTGGTTTTGTGCCAACATAGGCCCCAAACTCCAAAACCTCCTCTCCCTCCCTGTGTTTGGAGCCCACTGCTACAGAGCGCTCCCATCTCCCCTTGGGAGAGCTGGGTTCTGTGCATGGCTCTGCCACTGGCCAGCTGCAAGACCTTGGGCACATCATATCTCTCCATGCCTCAGTTTCCCTTTTGGTAGCAGGGTGGCGATGATGATACTGTGTAGCTCTTACCTGGAGAGCAGAAGGTCCCCATTTTACAGGCAGGGGAGTAGTGGTCCACCCGGAAGGCCCATGGCAGAATCAGGAATTGAACCCACATTTCCTGTGTCCTTAAATCATCATTTCAGTTTGCAGGCTCAAGCTAACGCGTCCCAGTGCGCACTTCCTGCTTCAAATCAGCTGTGATTCGAACAAGCGCGCCGGCGAGATCACGCTAATGAAATGCAGGATATTTAATCCCCGCTTCATTAGCAGTTTCGGTCACCTACATTTGCCTCCCTATCTCGAGATAGGGAGCAAGTGTGGACGTACCCTTAGCTAGTAAAGTGGACACCTATAGAGTGAACAGTAACAATCATGCACTGAATATAATCAGACCCGCCCCTGTGTGCCGTTTATGGCACTTTTAGCTCACAGCATAAAGTCCCTTAATTAGCAACTAGCAGGCTGGGAGAAGGAGCCCTGACTCTGACTAGATTGTACGTCTCTGGGAAGGGAAAGGAGGGGGAAGATAACACTCCTTTCACACCCTGAGTGTTCAGCAGAAAGTCACGTTTCTTGTGCAACTTCCCACCGGAAGGGGGCGGTAGCAAGCTTTGTCTCTCCAGCAGAAGCAATAGCGCTGCCTTTGCCATTTTCCCTATGCCGTGGTAACAGCAACCACGGTGTTATTTAACCCTTACTCGCCCCAGCAGCACGCGGGACACCTTCTGTGGAAAGCGGACGCCGAGCAACTGACTTCTCGTTCCAGGGGCCTGGCAGCAAGACCTAACCTCTGTGCTTCTGGGAATGCAAAGGGACAGCAGCACAGTGCTTTTGACCTTGGGTAATGCCACTGACGATGGGCTTCCTTCTGCTTTACACCCGTGTGCATGGGCGCAGAATCCAGTCCTGGCATGCAGGCTTCCCTGGTGTTAGAGGAGAGGGAGGAACGGCGAACCCCTGTGAGACCTGGAAGAGCCGCTAAGTGCAGAATCCAGATGGCAAAGCTGGAAACTGCTCAGACGGTTTTGTTGTTCAGGGAGATTGGAGAGGCAGGGAGACCGGCTCCTCAATTTTGCAGTTTTGCCTTTGACCATGGTGCAGGAGACTAATCTCAGCTGACTTCTCCTCCATGTGCTGGTGCCCCGTGAAGCCGGCGGGGGCTCTGCACTAAAAGAGCAAGGGCCTGAGCGTAGCCGAGCTCTGGGAGACATGGCCGGGCCCAGTGCTGCATTAGGAAACCCACGGCCCAGCACGTCAGGCTTGTGAGGTGCCCCCGAAACCCTGGAGAACACGTGTCACCGATTCCCTTTGCTGTGCTGTTGTTCATTGGAGAGCCCAGCACTGAGAGATCAGACAGGAGCATGAACAAGACTTTTCTGCCCCCCCTTCTCCTTTCCCTTGGGGGAGGGGCCAGTCCCGAGCTCACTCCCGTGTCCCTGCGGTTCCGGAGAGGGGCGTGAGAGCGCGGGCTCTTAGTGCTTGGCTCTTCTGATGGCTGGGCACAAAGGCCCCTGTGCCTTGGCTCCATGTGTGAGCAGGGCTGTCGCCCGCAGGCATCTGTTGCATGTCACGCTCTTACCCAGCTTTGCTTGGCCAGGCCAGGCCCTGCCCCTCCTTCCTTGCTCTGGTGGGGCTGACGCGGCAGCCACGTGAGACCCAATTTGCAGGCTGGGGCCCAGCCTCTGTGTCTGCCCCGTCGCAGATGCACTGGGCGTCCTTCCACGCTGATTCCTGGCACTGCCGGGAGCTCGGTGCATCCTCTGCTTTTCTGTTGCAGCTCTCCAGCGTGCTAGAGGACAGCAAGGACTCCTCCTGGCTGCCGTTCGAATGGGACCCCCCTGCTCCCGGCTCTCGGGCTGTGGCCAGCGCTGGCTTTGCGGGAAGCACGATGGTCTTCTTCGACATGAAGGTCAACAGAGACAGTGAGTCTGCTTTGCCCATGGAGACTCTGGTAGCAGGTGGCTGCCTGGGGCAGGCCGGGGAAGGAGCAGCCAGGAGAGCTCCTGCCCTGGCCCTGCTACTAACCAAGGCGTCCCTTCCTCCTGCCGCGCCTACAGAGGCCAAGGCACGACACGTGCTGCCCTGCAGGGCTTCCCAGGCAATCCGCGGCTCTTGCTCCGGGGCTAAGCCCAGGTCTCCTCCCCCCGGGATATTGCTCTAGCGCCAAGCCTGTGGGGACCAGGTGCTCTATGGAGCAACCCGGCGTTGCTGTAGTGACTGAGCCCGCTGGGCCCGCTCCAGCTCTGTCTGCAGGAGGCAGCTGCTCCCCTCCCATCATGGCCAGCCGCCCGCGGGCACGTTTCGTTGGAATCCAGGGAGGCCAGCTTTCCACGCCCCTCCATCAGACACCTGCCCCTGCCCCGCCCTCCTTCTGCTCTCCCTGCCCCGCCTCTCCTGGCTCAGGAGAGGCGGCACTCTGGACGGGGCCAGGGATGAGGGGTTTGGGGTGCAGGGGAGGACCCCAAAATGTGGGGTTTGGAGTATGGAAGGGAGCGGGGAAAGGCTCTGGGTGGGGGTGGGGCCAGAAATCAGGGGTTCAGGGTGTGGGAGGGGGTTCTGGACCAAGGCAGATGTGGGCGAGCTGGGCAACACCCCGGCTCCCAGAGATGCCTTTGCACCCAGGCATCACACCTGGAAGGCCAGGCTCTCCATCGCGCTGGCAGGCAGCCCCACCCCGCAGTAGTTTGGCAGGAACAGACAGAAGAGATCAGCGAGCCCGCTGGCCCCCCTGGCAGCCCCGTTCTCGCTGCGTTCCCCATGCTGGATGGTGTCTCCCAAGTCCCTGACTCTGCCCTTTTCCTCCTCCAGCTCAGATGATCACGCAGCTGGCTGCAGTGAGCGGAGAAAGCAGCTTTAAGGCCGTGATTCAGACCCCCGAGTCGGTGCTCAGTTTGATCTCCCAAGGCGTCTCCCTGGAGACCGGGCTGGAGCATTTCCTCTGCTACCTCCGCTCCGTCCCCAAGCCCCTCCTAGTCGTGCATAACTTCTGGGCCTCGGAGCTCACCGTTCTCTTTAAAGCCCTCGAGTCTTTTGCCAAGAAATGGGACTTCTGCACGGCTGTCTGTGCTTACCTGGACACCCTGCCCTTGCTTCGGGAGAGGATTCCCATGCTTGGCCGCTATAAGCTGAAGAACCTGGTGAGGATGTGCCTGCACAAGCCGCTGAATGACAGCAGCGCCCTGGCCTCGGCGAAGGCGCTGAGGGACCTGTGTAAACACCTGGAGATCCACACCAACCCGGACCCGAGGTCTGTGCGCTCTCATTGCAACCTGGAATCTTACACTTCTCTTCAGTCCTTGCTGCAGGAGAAGTTGCTCACCAGGTCGGCCGCCAAGACGCTGGCAATGCGTAGCATGGTCCTCTGCGTACTGCAGGAGTCGTAGCAGGAGACGGGGCTGCCCAGGCCTGGCAGGATCAGCCCTGAGCTTGGCGTGGCGCTACAGTGTTATTCCCCGCTGCTGCTCCCTGCCAGCCTGCTTCTGCTGGTGCCGTCAGTGGCCAGAGTGTCTGTGCTCTGGCTCCCGGATCCCTGTATCCCGCTGGGCCCCAGGAGGCAGCTCTGTCAGGCTGGCCCCTGGACTGAAAACGCTCTCCCTTTCCCTAGCACTGCTGAGCTCCCCAGCGCCAGCGGCTTTTGGAATGGCCGGGGCCAGGCTCTGCAGGCCTCTGTGTGCCGGGAATGATTAAACCACTTTCAGAACTGAGAGTCGCAAAGGTCCTGCTTGGAATCTCGTCCATGTCACTGGTGTTCCCTGGGAGCCGCGATGGGCAGCCAGGACTGGCCCTCCTTCATCTCAGTGGGGCTCCCCCTGCAGCCCCATCTGCGCCCCGCCCCCGTGGGCCCCTCCCACACCTGCACTCCCTGCTCCTCCCCCTCCTTCCTGTCTGTCTGTTCTATGCTAGGCGAATACACGGGCCTGGCCCCCATGTCGTGGTCCCCGTGGCTGGGGAACAAGAGGGGGCAGCCCCATTCAAACCGCCCCGGGTATTTCGGAGGAGAGCCCCTGGGCAGAATACAGGGAACAGGTCACAGCTGGGACAGGCCTAGTGCCCCCGGCAGCCCCACTGGCTGCTGGCAGCTGCCCATGCAGGGTTTCCCGGATGGAGGATGGGAAGAGGCTGTAGGGAGGGCACGGCAGGCTTCGTTTGCAAGGCATTAGAGCCCAAGATAAATCATTAGCAGGCCCAGCCCAGCTTTCCGGGGGCTGATTGGAATGAAGATCAAACCAAAACCAGACCAGGCAGAGGCACCGCGAGGCCAGGAGACGATTAATTATTTCTCTATCAGTTTCCCAAACAAGCTAATGTGAAGATCACTGGTTCGCAGGGAGCAAATCTCCCAGATCCATGTCGCTCTGAGAAGCCCCTAAACACCCCTATGCTCAAGGCTGCCGCTGAAGATAAGGGCTCTCGGAAGGGGAGCCATTGTAATGGCAGGTCCTTGTAATCCAGAGCTGGGATTTGCACACACTGCACCAGCCTTAATCCTACCTGGCTTCCAGCTTCTCTCTCCCCAAGAGCAGGCCAGCGATACTCCAATGGACGTACAGCAGCCGGAGGACAGTCAGGTCTCCTGGGGGCTGTGCATCCTTCCTGTCCCTCGGCCCCACTGGCTGCTCTGATCGTTAACGAGCGGATCGGGCGCTTAGCTCTCCCAGGGCAATTCCAGTCGACGGGTCCCAGCGATTCCCAGCGTGCTGGTCAGACAAAGCGTGTCCCAACCAGACCAGAACTTAGCGACAAGGAGCTCACACCTGGCCCGCTTGCTCATTGCACAAGTCTCCCTACTGCCAGTGGGAGCAGCTGTGACGGACCGGGCCGTGTCTGGGCACAGCTGAGGGCGTCCGCTCAGGGTGAATTGCTCGAATCCGGGGCTCCTTACAGCCCCCAGACTGGTGATCTCTCCACACAGGCCACAAACCAGTCTCACAGAGCGCTTCAGTGGGGCCCAGCTCTGCCTCTGCTGGTGCCAGTGGGCCCAATCCTTGTCCGGTGGAGCTACTGGGCCAGCTGCCCTCAGTGATGTCAGCTGGGTCCTGCCCCATGGGGCTACTCTGCCGGCACTGCCCACCTAGCATTACCAAGCTCCAACCAGCTGCAGCTGACGGCGTTTGGCCAGCTTCCCCCGACTGCGAGGCCACCGGCGGTGGTGGCACTACAGCCATGAGGAAGCGGCCTCCCGGGGGAGTTGGTGTTGCTGTTACAGGCAGGCAGCCTGACGCATGAGGAGTCCTGCTTTAGGGCGAAGGGTTGGATAGACAACGTGAGCGCCCATGTACCCTGCCTCCTGCCCCGCTCCGTTCCATGAGGCAGCCGCACCCGCGCCAGAGCGATGGGAATGCTGGCAAATGCCGTGCTACTGCCCCATGTGAATGCCACGCTCCTGGGCCCGTCCTCCACGAGGTAACGGTTCTGACTGTATCATGTCAGGGGGCAGCTACAGTGTCTGAGCGTGTCAGGACGCCCAGCTGATACCAGCGTATGCCGAAGGCCTATGGAACCCTGGGCCCCCGGCGATGCTGAAGCGTGTTGAAATGCCTAGACGTGCCCAGCTCTCCGGAGGTCTGTGGTGCCAGTGGAACAGCAGGTGACGGCACTGGAAGGGCATCCCTTGGCCATTGTAACTGAGAGGCCGTTACATCCCAGGCACTAGCCACCCATGTCATCCGTCATGTGCAACCGGTTTCTAAACCCACGTCCTTGGCACCACCGAGCTCCTCCCCCTCTGTGTCACGTGTCGCCTCCTGTTGTGGCACTGCCCCTTGCCAGCTGCAGGCTGCTGCACTGTCAACTTTTCTTCTGACTCCCTGCGGCTCAGTCTCCGGCTCTGCTCCCGTCCCAAAGGCACCGTGTCAGCCTGAGCTAACGCTCGCGCCTTACGTCTAGTGATGGGCCCCGCCGGTGGCTCTGTCTCCATCCATTCCACCACAGTAACAGGAACGGGAGCTGATTTTTCATCCTCCCCTCACTCATCTCCTGGCTGCCTTGCAGTGTGTCTCCCTCTCTACCCATGCGCTTGCTCTCTCCTCCAGGCGCTCTGCCACCGTCACAAGCTTCATCCCTCGCTAACCCATCACAACTCCCTGCGTCCCAGCAGCCGACCACGGGCTGATCTATACCCCCCAGTGGCCGTAAGCTGGCAGCTGCTCGCTCTTGCCAACAGCGTGAGCCTGTACCTGACACCTACTCCAGTCTAAATTTCCCTCTAACTCCTGCTGCCTTTGAAAAATGACTGAGCGCTCTTCTGACTGGCTATGTAGTCAATTTGTTAACTCCTGGCTAGCCTTATCTCCTTCCTCCAGAGTCCTCTGGGCTTGGCTAAGTAACTCGAACGTCTTATTCTGTTGCCTCCTCATTGACCAACAAGCCACGAGCAGCTATACAGCAGCTATTCCTTCTACCACTTTAGCCTTTCATTTCTTCTGCTCTGGTGCTACAGAAAACCTCCCACTCACAAACCCCCCTGGGTTACAATGCTCAGGAATCATCTCACTAGTTTTTAGTTGTACTAAACCTTGAGTGTATTTTCTGGCAACATTTTTCAAAACCATACATTGGGGCAACTCCTGCAGACTCACTTTTGCTCTTGCTTCACTCATCTGTTACTATGGATTTGAGAGAGTTTGTCTGTTTGTGAGTGAGCGAGTGAGCCTGTCTGTCTGTCCATTCAAGAACTCCGCCTAGGAGCTAGGTTCATCAAATTTGCTAGGCAGCTTCCTCTTCTCATAACTTAAAGCAAGGTCAGGGGTTAGTTGTGCCAGGATGTGTCTGGAATGGGATTGTTTCTCATGACATGGAAAGGGAGAGGTCTGCTTGCAGGGACAGTTATACTTTATAATGACCACAGGGGGGCAGCAAAGGGCCAAAGTTGAGAACCCAGACAGCTATAACTGGCGTGGAGCAGCAGGAGGCAAGGGTGCAGAAAGGGACAGTGATCTACTATATATTTAAGAGAGTTTGTTTCTGTGTCTGTCTGTATGGCCACTTCCCCAGCTATGTCTGCTGCAGCTCCAGCAGCCATGGAGAGGCGCTTCTCACCTGGCCCCAAGCTACTGCGGTGAGAGAGGGCTGCAGCAGACATAGCTATTCCACGCTAATTTCAACACATCCCAAGAAAACAACGGGGTGGGGGCGAGTTCCTAAGTTCCCTGGTAGCTGAGCAGCCCCGCAGCCACCTATTTAGTGCCGTGCTGGTGCTCCTAGACATTGCCAGGGCAGGGACCTGCAGCAGTGGGGAAAAGGCCTCCCTGTCCCACCTCCACCCCCAGTATAGCCCACCATCCGACCTGCCAGGGGGGCCCAGCCTCATCCCAGCCC